CAGAAAACAAAACTGCCTCATCGGTTTTTGCATTAAACACAATTGAGAAACATCAAATGAAGAGTTATTGTATATCTACCAAAGTCGAAACGTGAGCCAGGATACAGAGCATCATCTTAACTTAAGTCCCAGGAGTACTGATAATGGTGTTTTAAAGATTTTCATGGCACCAGTATACCTTGCCATGGGCATTCATTTTGTTTACTCAGCCTGCCTTACTTCTGGCTTTATTTTTTTAATTACAGGGTAAAGAAGTTAAAACTAAAAGGAAACTGTCAGCTCCAAGCACTAGTGCCAAAGTGGCAAATGGGCAAAGTCACATTCGTTTGGGAAAGAGCTCAGAAGTGTCATTTGGAAGACAGCTACTGGCTGTTACCCCCTGGTGACAAAACTAACCTCCCCGCCCCGCCAAAAAAAGAAAAAAAAATCTTCCTTCAACACTTGAGAGCTTGAGACCCAGCAAGTCGGATACCTGGTGGCCACAGACCGTGACACATGTGCTTTTAGAGGTGGAAAAGGCCATCAGGAAATTGACCAATGATATTAGGAAAAACGCTCTCACAAGAAGGGTGCTGAAGCACTGGAAGAGGCTACTTAGAGAGATGGTGGAAGCTCCATCCTTGGAGGTGTTTAAGACCCGGCTTCACAAAGCCTTGGCTGAGATGATGTAACTGGGGCTGGCCCTGCTTTGAGCAGCGGGTTGGACTCGATGAGGTCCCTTCCAGCCCTTGCTGTCTACAATTCCTTCTTCCCAAGGTTGCAGGTGCAGAGCAAACCCGGCCTCCCCGCGGCACCTCGCCCACGAAGGGCACCCATGAGGCACAGACTTCCCTGGAGCCAGCGTTCCCTTTCTCGTGAAGGGGATGAGCAGCCAGTAGGGTTCAAATTAGGGGGGGCTGAGCCGCCCCATAAGAGGAGAGCCTCCCTGTAAGATTTGAAAATAATAATGGGGGGTGGCTCTGATTTTATTATGGCATGGTGGTGGGCAGCCCCATTTCTGTTGCAGACCCCGCCCCAAGAAGCAAAGTATAATTGGAGCCCTGCAGCGAAGGCCAGCACTGCAGCCTGAAATAGGTCCTGGAGACCGCCCCTAGTGCCTCCTGCCTGGGGGACCCTTCCTCTTCCTCCGCCCTCCAGCCCCCTCGCCGCGATACACACACATCTGGGGGCTGCACATCTGGAGGGCTGCGCGGGAGGGCCGTGGCCGCGGGTGCGC